GCATGCCAGGCCAGCGCCGAGTGAGTTTCGCCAGTACCCTTGGTGAAAGGGAGACACAAACCCCACGGTCAAGTTATAGTGACTGTGACCGTCGAATAAGTTGTATTCTAATATCAATGCGGGCGAACAGATGGAGTTTAGTACTCACGGTTCGTGTTCCAGCATTGGAAGCGAGGCAAATTCGGCCCTTGATGGCCATCTGTTAGGTAGCAGTTCGGGACTAGGATTCCGACTAGTCAAATTATTGAAAGATTGGGATATTCGTTTTTCGGCCGAAGACAAGGAAGACCCGGAGAAATTCCTGGACCGTTTAAGCATTTGTAAAAAGTCATATGGTATTAGCGACCAGGAATTGTTGCAGGTGTTGCCGAGTGTATTGCGACGAGCGGCTAGTCATTGGTTCCGAGTTGTTAATTCTGAAATTAAGACCTGGGGGCAGTTTAAAAAATTATTCAAACGTGAATTTTTAGAGACCGTGGACGACGAAGATGTTTATGACGAATTAAAGGCCCGCACCCAGGCCAAAGGTGAGAAGATTACGGAATATTTGTTGAGCTTAAGGTCAATTGCTCAGCATTTCCGCACACCTATGACTGATTATGAAATGTTGCGAATCGCGTATCGTGGTTTAATACCCGAGAATAGGCGTTACGTGTCGTCTTTCCATATTGATAGTGTCGAGGATTTAGAGAAAGTTCTCCGCAATTTTGAGAAAATTAAAGAGATCGATAGGTGTTACGTTCCGCCCCCACCTAGAGACAAAATGATTTTCCCCATGGCAGCCCCCAGGCCTCCCCCTAGATCGTCAAAATTGGACGCGTTGCTAGAGAGTTCGGCGTCAGAGACTGGGGATGAGACTGTAGAGGAAAATCTCAAAACAGTGAATAAGAGGAAAAAGTGTAAGAAGCCCACGAAAAAGAAGGCGAGTCAGGAGAGCGAGTTATGTGCTATCGTGGCGCCAACCGGGTTCCCACAGTCGCGTTATATGGAGCCGAGACAAATTCCAGTTCGCGCCCCCCAACCGGGACCCTCGCGCCCCCCCCGCTGTGAATAATTCCATACCACAGGTGACCCAACCGACCCCACCTCCAGAAATTAGAGTCAATAATAATAATATGCCCAATACGCGTCAATCTAGTGACCAGCGTACCTTTGTAGGAACTTGCAATAATTGCAAGGCCGAAGGGCATAAAGCTGTTGCATGCCCGTCTCGAGTATGTTTTCATTGCCATGGTATAGGACATTATGCACAGCAATGTCCATTAAAAGTAAATAAAATTCCTATTTCGTGTCAGGTCTGTGGCACCAGTGGTGCGGTGTTTGCGAATTGTGTTAATTGTAGCGCTATACGTGCCATGTTGGGAAACATGGCACAGTGGTACCGCACAGTGTAGCGACCGCCGAAAGGCACACCGAACGGGTTGAGAGAACGAGGAGGGAGAGTAGAGAAAGCCTCGAGAGCGTAGATACCCCTCGCGTCATCGGTGAAACGGTGAGGGTAGAGGTACATAGGCCTGAGGCGAGCAGGGATCTCAGTGTACCTGTCGCTCAGCCTTGTACTCTATTGAATGGGGATAACCGAGGTATTAGCGGGGAAGGCAGCACACAAGATACCAATGCTTCGTTGCGCGATGGAACTCTGTACAATTCGACTCGTTCGTCTAGCGACAATCGTGATTCCAGCGCGCAAATTCATACTGCAAGTGCAGTTGCAACGGATGTTGAATTTAGGGAAGGGGGAAATGCAAAAAGTGCATATGGTCCAGGAATTGAGGGCGAAATTATCGATGCTTCGGGTGAGGAAAATAGATATTTTCTTAAGCTTTTCATAGCTGACCGCCCTTATTTAGCCCTTTTTGACCCCGGAGCGACTATTTCTGCAGTAGGACCCCATTTAACGAGATTATTTAGAGACAAGTTAGAGACTATGGATTCCGTGATTTCTAGTGCCATTGGGGGTGAAACTAGGGTTTTGGGTAAATTGAGATTGTGGTTCACGATAGATGGCGTTTCGCAATCTTTTGAGTTAAGGGCCATAAACTCATTGAGACAAGATTTGATCCTCGGTATGGATTTTTGTAGGGATATGGACATGGATGTTCAACTGGGGAGGGGGTTATGGCGCATTAACGGCCAGGCTTGGCACGAGTTTGCCAATGGACCGGGCGAATTATGCGAGGGACAAGTTTTTGCTGAATGTGCTGGTATATGCGAATTATCCACAGCGCAAAGACAGGAAATACAACGACTTGTCGATGAATTAGTGTTGCCCCAGCGCCAAGAACATGGCGTTACCACCCTTACCGAGCATAATATTGTAGTGACCGATTCCACCCCCATTAAGCACCGAACCCGTAGAATGTCCCCCATGATGTTGCAGTGGTTGATAGAGGAAATCAAGAAACTCTTAGAGCAGGGTATTATCGAGAGAGCTTCTAGTGAATGGAGCACGGCACCGGTTATTGTTAAAAAAGGGGATGGGTCCCTTAGATTGTGTTTTGATTTTAGAGACCTAAATGGCGTGACCGTAAAGGATGCATACCCTATACCCAGCATTGATGGTATTTTGGACAAATTAAGGAAGGCCAGGTATATCTCGAAAATTGACCTAAAGATGGCGTACCATCAGGTACCCATGGGCGAGTCGAGTAAACATTTTACGGCGTTTTCCGTCCCTGGGTTGGGTTTATTTCAATTTAAACGCATGCCTTTCGGTCTCACTAATGCCCCTATGACCTTTCAACGATTAATAGACGCCCTCTTCGGTCCGGAATTTGAACCAGTCGTGTTTGGTTATCTGGACGACATCATAATCGTGAATGATGATTACGAAGAGCACGTGCAGTGGCTCAGGACAGTTTTGCTTAGGTTGGCCCTAGCGGGGTTAGTAGTGAACCCTACCAAATGTGAATTTGGTTGTTCGAGAGTAACATACCTTGGATATGTACTGGATAGTGACGGTTTGCGACCCGACCCCGACAAGATTGTCCCTGTACTAGATTACCCTGCGCCCCAGAATGTCAAACAATTGAGGAAATTTTTAGGGATGGTAGGTTGGTATTCGAGGTTTATAGCCGGCGATAGTGAGCTGAAAATTCCCTTATTGCGACTCTTACATAAAGGAAGAACTTGGGAGTGGGGGGAAGAGCAGCGGAATTCTTTTTGTGAGTTGAAAAAGAAATTGAGTTCCGCCCCAGTTTTAGCACGACCTGACTTTTCGAGACCTTTCACGATACAATGTGATGCTAGCGACTTTGCCCTAGGGGCAGTTCTTCCCCAAGAATCTGAGGATGGCGAACATCCCATAGTCTATATTAGTAAAGCCCTGTCATCCGCGGAGAGAAATTATAGTGTCACCGAAAAGGAGTGTTTAGCGTTATTATGGGCAATTAAAAAGTTCCGTCCTTATGTTGAGGGGTATAAATTTACGGTTATTACGGACCACAGCGCGTTAAGGTGGTTAAGAAACCTTAAAGAACCGTCTGGACGTTTAGCACGGTGGGCACTCGAATTACAACAGTGGAATTTTGATATTGTGCATAGGCGCGGCATTCATCATATGGTGCCGGATGCACTTTCGAGAATGTTTGAGAGGGAGGGTGATGTTGCTTCATTCGAGACCATTAGTGACCCGTGGTATATTAAGAGACGAGAATTGATAGAGAAATTTTCCCAGCGTTTTTTGTGTTGGCAAGTAATTGAGGGTCGTTTGTATAGACAGCGCGAAGACCCTTTATTGAGCCCGTTTAGCGACCCTGGCGATAGTTGGAAACTTGTCATTCCTGTTGAGCACTGCGAGAGAATAATGAAAGACGCACATGATGGGTTGTCAGTGGGACATTTGGGCGTAGACAAAACCTATCACCGCGTAGCGACAGAATACTATTGGCCCGGTATGTGGTTTGACATACAGCAGTATGTCAAGGCGTGTGAGGAGTGTCAACAATTTAAGGCGTCTCACGAAGGGCCAATGGGACTAATGGGGCAGAGAATCGTTGAAACTCCCTGGACGGTGGTAGCGGTAGACTGTATGGAGTTTCCCCCCAGTAAAAGTCAATGTTCCCACTTAGTAGTGTTTCAGGATCTATTTACTAGATGGATCGAGGTTAAACCGTTGCGTTCGGCGGATGGGAAATCGATTTCTAGAGCATTTGAGGAATTAATTGTTTTCCGGTGGGGAACGCCGCGTTTTTTATTGTCAGACAATGGAAAAGAATTTGATAATAGAGTCCTGAAGTCTACATTAGAGGAGTATGGTGTGCAACATTTAACTGCCCCCCCCCCCTATCACCCCCAAGCAAATCCCGTTGAACGCAGTAATAGAACCTTGAAGACCATAATAGCGACCTTTGTTGGCCTAGACCACCGAGATTGGGACAAACATGTTCACGAGTTTCGTAATGCAGTGAACACTGCTGTCCAGGCCACAACCAAGGTATCCCCAGCTTTTCTGAATTTTGGTCGACAACCCCTACCGGTTAAAAGCTTGAGACGCGAACTAGAAGTTGTGACCACCGTGGACCGTATAACCCCTGAAATTTGGATAGAACGGATGAAGCGTTTGGATGGTTTGCGAGATTTGGTAGCGCGTTTCATTGATAGAGAGAGAGAGAGACAAACAACTTATTACAATCGTAATAAAAGATTAGCGACCTTTAGAGTGGGTGATATGGTTTGGTGGAGGTCCCATAAGCTTTCGAACGCAGCTAAAAAATTTTCTGCTAAGTTAGCTCCGAAATTTGAGGGACCTTTCGAGATTATCCGCCAGTTGTCCGACAATGTTTACGAGCTTAAGACGGAAAATAACCGTCGTATCACCAAGGTGCATGTGTCTGACCTTAAACGTTTTGTACCTCCTCGTGGTCAAGATTGAGTTGTGTGTTTCAAATTTAATTGTAGTGATTATTTTCAGTTTGATGCCGAAGGTTAAACAAGACGGTGGTTCTCCTTTTTCAAAGCCGAGAATTAGGAGCGTGTGTGTGGTGAAGGAACCGTTCAAAATGAATCGCAATGGTGTTGGACGCGGTCGTCGTCTTCGTGAGCGGGTGGAGGCGTTGCGAGCCATTGGGGCCACCCCGTCTCCCGCTCGGGAGCCGTTGAATGCGGAAGAATTTGATGAGTTGTTCGATGAGGTACTTCGTAGCGGAAGTACGGTCGAGAGAAGCCGAAGTCCTTTTCAGCCAGTGGAGGAGGTGGTGGAGGCGTTGGAGGAGGTCATTGAGTCGGTGCCGAGTCAATCCCCGGAGTCGTTGCCTCCATTAGTGCAGTCTCAGTGGGAGAATTGGTCTGGCCGTCCGGCGCCGGATGGAAGCGAGGATCCTCAAGTTCCTCCCGAGAATCTAGCGGAGTTCGAAAGTTGGTTAGCGGTGGTGGAGTTGCAGACGTTGGTGGGCAGTGAAGCGGCCGAGGCTCGGCCAGTAGTTGTCCCTATTAGCCCGGTGGTCGAGAGACGACGTCCACAGGCAGACTGGGACTATGTGAGCAGCCAGAGTATGAGCGAATTAACCCCAGTGGTTAATAGAAATGTGAATTTGCCCCGGCATGCTCCCCCGCCAGATCGTAGCCCGTTGCAGGCCGATAATGGTCCAGCGTTGTCGGAGATGTCCTCACCGAGCCGAAGTAGCGACCATTTCCCCTCCAGCAGCAGTTTTTCCACCCCTTCGGGTTCATCGAGTTCCCCTAGCGCCCCTCCTTCTTTGATGTCTTTGCGACCCTTTCCGGTGACTCCGGAGCCTTCTTTGCCGGTGTTGCTCATGGGTCGTTTGTTTTCGGATTTGGAACCCATCCCTACCGATCCTTCATTGGATCCTCCCCCCTGGTGTTTGCCATAACTGTTGGCAGCGAGGGCATCGTCTTAGTGATTGTCGACAGTCGTTACGTGTGTTTTGTAACAATTGTGGAAGGCGTGGAGTGAGAATGACGAGTTGTCCTCGTTGCCGAGAGGCGTATCGGAGACAACGAGCCACTAGTGACCGCCGTACAACGCCCCCCCTGCCTCGCGGCCGCAGGGCGACACCTTCTCGTTGTAGTGATCGTCAAGTGCCACCCCCCCGGCTTAGCGACTTTTCGCGTGACACACCACGAGTCAGTCCGCAACCTGTTGTTGGTGTTTTACCCTCATCGCGGGATAGAGACCCCCAACCGAGTACCAGTCGTGGTGATGTGGAGTCTGGCTCTTTGATAGAGCAAATTATGAGCCTTGAGAGGTTCGTCCGAGATCTGCCGCCTGAAATGGCTCGTGAAATTAAAATGCAGTTCTGGCAGAGCCAGAAACGCTAAGTTTTGTTTTTGGTACTAAGAGTACTAGTAACTATAATAAATTTATTTTTAATTTGAGTTCTTTTTCTTTTCTTTTGTGACCTTTTAATTTATCGGCAATATTACTACAAGAGTAATATTGGCCTAGGGAAGGGGTTTGTAACGAAGCGAATCGTTACTTATTAAAATCTTAGCGACCGAGAGTATTTCGTCTATTTTGCTATAGTGAGAGAGAGTTCCGTCTCTGTCTTCATTCATCGCTCCGTCGCAGTTTTTCCAAATTTGGTATAGTGTCGTTCCGATCTTCGTTTTCGTCTCTCGCGAAGTCCAGCAGAGAATGAATTGCGCATGATCGATTTGACGTATGTAGTCATGTGATGTTTAGCGACCCTTTCCCCTTTTTCTTATAGGTTTTTCCATTGATTGAAGGGAGAAGGATGTATGGAAATTAAGTACGGAAAGGACTGAGATGGTTTCTCCAAATTTGAATGCAGGTTTCCAGGAAGGCGTTGGAACCATTCATCATTCATTATTCGCTTACCTTGATTTCGAGTCGGTCGAGTTTTCGTTTTACTCCCTGAGTGGAGATTTCGTTTATTAATTTATTTTGTTAATTTACCTATTTTTCTTTTTTTTAATTCTAGTTGTGTATAATTCGGTTTTATTGTTAATAAATTTTAGTATTTTATCGTTAATTCCTTGTTGTTTAATTTGGGAGAGAAACCTTAATTTACATTTCGAAATTAACGGAAAACCGTTGGAGTAGAGACGTCGCTGGTCGCAAGCAGAGTTCGACAACGAAGGTTTGGAAATTTAATTAAATCTGGAGATCGATGCATCGTCGATTCTTTCTCAGCAGTTCCCCCCCTTTGAGACTATTATTTGGTTGAATTGGTTTGATTTGAGATTATTAATTTGTTGTTTAAAATAGAGATGAAATTTGAAGTTGTAAACGCGAAATATTGAGACTAAGGGTTCGAAAAATTTCTAAGTATCGGGTAAACGATGCAATAGTTTATTAAAATTATTTCTTTAACTAACTATCAAATTGTCCGCTACATAATTCTTTGCCCCGTATCGAGGGAACGATCGAGCCTAAACAGGGTACTACCATCTGGCCAAGATGGACCCTGAACCGCCTCCGTTAGTTACATAGACGTTATAGCATTGCCGGAGCATTGATGCGACGTCTATGATATCCAAGGGCGCACTCCAAGGTTATGTGGGGTTGGTATGATAAAAAAATAAAAAGAAATATAAAAAAAAGAAAAATAAATAAATGTTATAATAAATTTAACAAACTGGCGACTTACTACCAGCCCGACCCACTAAAACCCGTAACCCTTCTTTTGGAGCCCTTTACCCTCCCTCGGAACTGTCGTAAGACTTTAGCCTTCGAGGGTGGCGCTCCGACTCTGTCGCTAATGCGACTTTCTGCTTTTCTCTGCGGTTATCCTGCGTTAATAGTTAAAAATTTAAAACTATTTCAATATAAAAGCGGAATTAACAGCACGACAATAATAAAAAAAAATGTTAAATCAAGTGTAAACAGTCAAAAAGTAAAATTGCAAACGGATATATAAAAAAAAAAAAAAAAAAAATTAATAAACGCGTATATAATATTAAAAACATAAAACGGAATAAATTAAAATTGTATAAGGACAAATAAATCACAAAATAAATTAATAAAAAACAAACGAATAAATTAAAAGCTGTTTAAATTACGCTTTTTGGCGGCCGTCGAGATCCTTCCTCGACATAACCGAGATTATGAAGTTCTCGACTTGCCGCCAATTCTCCTCTGACTGGGTCATCAGCGATACCATGTTCTCCGGTGTAACTTGACTGTTTACACCTTCGAACATGGCCTGCCTCTCCAAGTCCCATTTCTTGCATGAGAAGAGGGTGTGCTCCGCGTTGTCCTCAGGGAACTGGCATCGCCTTGATGCAATTGTCCCACTTTGCGGAGTTAAATGCATTACGTATGTCGATGGAAATAAGCGCGCAGAATCCCTTCTTCTTGTCCTCTTTGACTTTCCTCGCATGGTTTACAACAGTGAGTATTGCGTCAACTGTTGACCGGCCTTTACGAAAGCCAAATTGATTCTCCGATAGGCTATTTTCGCCTATCAGGATTTCCTGAAGTCTCTGCAGAACCATTCCCTCTAGAAATTTGCCCATCGTATCCAATAAATAAATTGGTCTGAACGATGTTACCTTATCCAGAGGTTTATCGCCTTTCCTTTAGTCGCCTGAGGTTCCAAGAGGCTCCCTTGCTACCATTTTTTGGTGCGGTACGTCCTCGAAGTTTTTCCTCAGAGACTAAAAACTCTATGTACTGGTGGTCACTTAATGTTTCCTCGTCCAGTACCCTCCATTCTCTTATTCTGCGGGCTAGGCAGGGAGATGCGATTGTTAAATCAAGGATAGATCCCGATTCTCTCCTCCTGAACGTGAACTCGTGGCCCCGGTTTAACACCACCAGCCCATTCGTCGCCAGCATGTCGGAAACCAAAATTCCTCTCCTGTCCTGACGAGTCTCTCCCCATTCCGGCGACTTACTATTGAAATCTCCCGCAATGAGGACATCCCCGTCAAAAGCTCTCAGACTTTCTTCAAGATAACGAATCTCAGAAGCGAATTTTCCGAATGGGTCGTTGGGCGAGAAATAGCAGCTATATATACGAATACCTGCCACGTCCGCCCAAACAAACCCCTTGTCTGTACCCAAGAATAAACCGGTGGTGATACCCGGATTGCATATCTGTATTGCCGATCTACCTGATGAGTCTTGAAACCAATTCGAGAATCCTTGCTTCTTATACTGCTCACTAATAAGCAGTATATCCACACCTCTCTCTCTGGCAGACTGCATTAGGAGATTTTGGGCAATACTTCCCTTTCTGAGGTTGACCTGAAGAAATCTTACCTCTTCTGTTTCAACCTCTTCAGTTCCTCCCTATAGACAGGGCAGGACCCACTTCCTGGAGCGTGATTTGTCTCCTTTATCCCTTTATCCTCACAAGTTGTACAGTAGAATTCCTTTGCACAATTCTTGTGAGAATGGTCTGAAGATCCACACTTCCAGCAAGCCTTGCTCCTATCGGGTCCTTTACAGACCCTTGCCAGATGTCCGTAGCCCAGGCATCTGTGGCACCTATCCACTTCCATCCTACTGTAAATCCTGCAGTTTATCCAGCCTACCCTTACCTTACCGGCCTTGAGCAGAGCATCTGCATCTGCCTCTGGTAGTACCTCCATACCGGGTGACTAGTTGGCAAGGCGTTTCCAACTCAGGCTTGCCCAGACATCCCCGTATTGCCTTCTGTACGTCTGCCACGACTATAGTCTCATCGAGGTCTACGATTTCTAGTGACCTCGTCGAGACTACTGTCTTGACCTCTGCTTTTCCATCCAGGGCAGTGGTCAGCGCACTGCTGAATCCAGTGAGATCCTGCCCCTTCTTAAGAACCAGGAGGATTTCTTTCTTCCTGGATCTTCGGACCGACAGGATCTCGACTTTGTTTTCATCAGGGCTGACCTTTGAGAACATATCGTCCAATATCCCGTTATAGTCTTTACCTTCCCCTACGCTTATTCTAATTGCGTCTGTCTCCCTTTTCTTTCTCTTTCAGGAGGGTTTTTTTGTTTCCCCCTTAGGGTCATCCTCAGTCCTTTCTTTTGCTTTTTTCTTTTTCCCCTGGACTTTTTTCCAAGGCTTCCTCAGCTGTCTGATGGGGAGACACGGACGCCTTCCCTTTCTTCGACTTTCTTTCTTTGGGCGTAGTTGAGGCCCCCCTCTTCTTTCTATCAGAGGTGGGGGTTCCCCGAGAGTTCCTCCTACGCGTCTGACTTGTCGTCTCGCTATGAGAGGAGGAGGATAATTTTCTAATTTTTTAGAAAATTCTCTCCCCTCTTCCATTAGGTCCCTGGCGATGCCAACGAGGCTCTCACCATAATGGAAAGCCTCCACTGCACTATCCTTGACTGGCTTCGGATTGTTCCTTAAATTCCCCTCTTTTACGATTCGAAGAGACTTAAACAATTCCTCCGTCACTTCGGACTGCCTCTCCATGAGTCGATGCATGGTCTTCCATCCCTCAACCCATAGGCATGCTGGAACCGCTTTACTATTGAGGGCAGAGGTTTCTGCAACCTCCGTCTCCATTTTTGTGTCACCGTTATGGTCAGAAGGACCAGTGTGCTGTTGGCCACCCCCAAAATCCGTGGGCCTTGCGTCGACCACCGGGACTTTCACCCGATAGGAATCGACGGCAGGATTACCCTCTGTCGAGGTACCTGCTTGGGGTATAGTGTTGTTTACATCACACATTTCCATTTTTAAACTTGAAAAAAAAAGATTGACTTATATGGGTGTGATTAGTGTATCGTGTGTATTGTGTTGTGATTAATGTGTAGGTGTTGTAATTGTGTGTAACCCATATATGTGTTAGAATAGTGTACATTTGTTGTGTACTGTGTCTGACGGACCAGAACGACCATGCACATCCCCCGTCTCTCATGCGTATCTCACATTCACGGGGGTAGCGCGTTTATAGCACCCCCCCACATACAGAAAAAAGGAAGAAACTTCCGCAAAGTGTTCCTCTTTCATTCCACATACACTTTCATACATCAGTTTCGATTCAATTGAGACAAACCGGATACCGCCAAGGCTGGCCTATTGGACAGACTTCCCGGATCCATAGTGTCATCAATAGAAAAGAGACTGCCCAATCGTGGAAGCGGCCGTCTATAGGCTACTCTGGTTCCGCATTTAGGGCAGGAAATTATTATTATTATTATTATTATTATTATTATTATTTTTTTTTTTTTGCTTAGGGACTTTTGGGAAATCTGCTTACAGATACCTTGGATTCCGCACTCCAAGGTTATGTGGGGTTGGTGTGATAAAACAAAAGGAGATAAAAAAAAGAAAAATAAATATATAAAATAGTAAACCTAATAAACTGGCGACCCACTGCCAGCCCGACCCACTAAAACCCGTAACCCTTCTTCTGGAGCCCTTTACCCTCCCTCGGAACTGTCGTAAGACTTTAGCCTTCGAGGGTGGCGCTCCAACTCTGTCGCTAATGCGACCTTCTGCTTTTCTCTGCGGTTAACCTGCGTCCATAGTTAAAAAATTTTTTTTAACTATTTCAAAGTATAAGCGGAATTTACAACACAACAATAAAAAAGCAAATTCTAAAAAGTGTAAAAAGTCAAAAGATAAAATTACAAACGGATATATAAAAAAAAAGAAAAAATAAACGCGTATAAAATATTGAAAACATAAAACTGTACAAAGATGAATAAAAAACACAAAACAATTAAAAAATGTATAAGGACAAATAAATCACAAAATAAATTAATAAAAAACAAACGAACAAAATTAAAAGCTGTTTAAATTACGCTTTTTGGCGGCCGTCGAGATCCTTCCTCGACATAACCGAGATTATGAAGTTCTCGACTTCCCGCCAATTCTCTTCCGACTGGGTCATCAGCGATACCATGTTCTCCGGTGTAACTTGACTGTTTACACCTTCGAACATGGCCCGCCTCTCCAAGTCCCATTTCTTGCATGAGAAGAGAGTGTGCTCTGCGTTGTCCTCAGGGAATTGGCAATATGCACACACCTCGTTCTCGCGTAATTTAAAGCGACACAGGTACGAGTTGAAACACCCGTGACCTGTGAACGCCTGAGTCAAGTAATAGGAAACCTGACCGTGTTTCCTATTTATCCAGGTGGCGAGTGCCGGGATAAGGCGATAAGTCCATCGACCTTTTTCCTCACCATCCCATCTTTCTTGCCATCTTTCTATGAGCCTGTGCCTCGCTTCTTTGCGGATCAGGCCCTTGCTTGGTCTTAATTCCTCATTCAAGGAACTGCTTTCTTTAGAAAAGAGAAACATTTCTTCCCTTTCCCTCGCCAAAAGATCTGCTGGCGGGTCACTTGCAAGGACCTGCACAGCACTCGTAGATACCGTCTTATATGCAGAGATGATACGCGTTGTTATCGATCTCTGCGCAGACAGTATCTTTTCACAGATGGTCACACATCTTTTACTCCTCAGGGATGGGGCCCACGCTGGTGCTGCATAGAGCATTTTAGCGTGGGCGACACTCGCCACCAGTCTTCTTTTTTGTTCACGGGGTCCGCCAACATTTGGCATTAGCCGTGAAAGATTAGCCGCACACTCGATCGCCTTATTTGACGCCGTAGCCATGTGGTGGTGGAAGTTTAACCTTCCATCTAACTCCACACCAAGATATTTAATTTGCTTACTCCACTTGACCTCGAATCCGTCTATCACGATTCGTGGGAGCTCATAACCACGTCTGTCTGTGACCAGCAGTGCCTCGGTCTTTTCCAGGGCCATTTCAAGACCTCTGGTATCCAGCCAGCTTTTAGCTAGTCGCAGACATTCGTTCACCAATGTCCCAAGAGCCTCCTCACTTTCGACAGTGCACACGAATAACGCGTCGTCCGCAAAGCCGATGATCACCGCACCTTCGGGCAGATCCATTCGCAGAAAATCATCGTAAGATACATTCCATACAAATGGACCCACCCTCGAGCCTTGAGGAGCCCCACGCTGCATCTCTTCCTTGAGAGTGCAGGTGTCTCCCTCATATATAACCCACCTGTCGCTAAGATAATTATCCATTATCCGCAACAAGTAGGGCGGCATGTTTTTCTTTTCCATATTATTATTATTATTATTATTATTATTATTATTATTATTATTATTATTATTATTATTATTATTATTATTATTTATTTTTTTTTTTTGTAGTCGGAAGTGGAAAATCTGCGAATTCAGATACCTGGGTAATGAATTCCAGGTTATGTGGGGGTGACCGCTCTTGTTCTGGTCTACCCACTAAAAACCACTCCCGTCTTAATTTGGGACACTTGATCCACCTGCGGAACTACCGTCAGGCCTTCAACTTCGCAAATGGTGGTCCCCTTGTCCTACTCCTTAACTGGGCCTTAATCCGCTCTAGCTTTGTGGGAACGTGAGTGGGAGGAAAACTAAATGATTTACTCCCCCCCTCACTCACACACAGCTGAGCACTAGACTCCTCCGGTCAACATCGTCTTCCGTCTCTTGCCGCTCTTGTTCTGGCATTATTTCCTCCTTGTCCTTGACAAAGTCTTCTTTGCTTCCTCGAGGGCAGTTCTGAAGACCTTGCAACCTCCTGATCCGGCGACATGCTGGATATACTCCTTCTCTCCGAACTTTGCCTGGCATAAGAAGCAGCATGGGCTCTTCTTACAATCTGCTGCCTTATGGCCAGCTTCTCCGCACTTGAAGCACGCAGCTGACCTATCTACACCTTGGCAATCTCTACCTAGATGGCCATAGTCAAGGCAATTATGACACCTTGTGACCATAGTTCTGCTTCTTATCTTGCAGGAGACGAACCCAATCTTTATGTGCCCAATTTTCTCCAGCTTATCAGCGTCTTCCTGATTGGTGACCACGACAGCGAGCTTTACTCCTCGCTTGTTTGGTCCCAGAACCGTCACCCTCCTACTTCCTGCTGGCACCGTAGAAATTTTCTCCAGGGCACACAGTACGTCATCTTTTTCTGTAAGGGCATCCATATCGCGGATTTCCAACGTAGTTCGCCGGTCCGCCATCTGCACCTTACCCAGATCGCCGATCACCTTTGTCACCTCTTCGGTGAACAACTTCTTGTTTGAAGACCCCCCAATTTTAATGAGCAGGTCTCCTTTTTTAGTGGGTAAAGCTCCCACAACCCTTGTCTGACTGGCCTCCAGGTCAGCCTCTTTTCGAACCTTCGCCAGCACCTCGGCGAAGGTAGCTCCTTCAGCCACTTTGACGACTACTGTGGCTCTTCCCTTCTTAACTGGATTTGGCTTTGGTGCCGGTTTGGTCTCGTTACCTTTAGACCTTCTAGAAGGTCCCTCCTCCTTCTTCTTTTTTGGGTCCTTCGTACTCTCAGGATCACTTCTCTTCCGCTTCTGAGACTCCAGGACAACGTTTTTAAGCATTACTGCATTAAAACGGTCACGTCTCATTCTTCGGTCCTTTCGTGCATCCTCTGACCAGGCTAACCCCTGGTAGAACTTCTCATCTTTTCTGGACGCTGCTGCGTGCTTCTCCTTCACATCCCGTATGAGCGATGTTATGCTTCTATGTCCATCCTTAATTGTCCTATTGACATTCTTCTTGACTTCGCAGGACTTCAGCATCTTGCTGACCTCTTCTTCCATTTCTAGAATGCTTGCTGCCTCTTCCGCCCGCAGCTTCACGCATTCATCTCGATGTTCATTGCAGCTAGCAATGTCAATCGCAGAAGCATTACTGAATACAGAAATGCAGCTGGCTTGACTCGTCACGCTGCTCGTACTCCCTCGTCTCTCCGCCCTGTCCACGATGATCTGTGGGACTCCCAACGCGTTGTTGCCCTTCTGCATCCTTGGGCCACTAGCCACCGTCCCCACGCTATGCGCTTGACGATCGGAACCAGTGAGGGATTTAGCCGTAGCATTACCCCGCAGGTACTCTTCCTCGTTTTTACAATCGCTCATGATGGATGTTTCTTGTTTGCTGGTTTTGGTCCGCGTCGAGTATTTGATTTCCTCGATACCACCTATTTCTAGGAAGCTAACCTATCCGCCACCTGGCACGCGTCCGATAGAAGACCAGCAACCCCGCGCAAAAGAACAGGTTCTAATGCGCCCCGGGTAGAACAAAAGTTCCAATTAGAACAAAAGTTCCAACCGGGCACGGATTTATTATTATCGTAAGAATTTAGCCTTCGAGGGTGGCGCTCCAACTTTGTCGCTAATGCGACTTTCTGCTTTTCTCTGCGGTTATCCTGCGTTAATAGTTAAAAATTTAAAACTATTTCAATATAAAGCGGAATTAACAGCACAACAATAATTAAAAATAACAAATGTGTAATTAAGTGTAAAAAGTCAGAAGATAAAATTATAAACGGATATATAAAAAAAAGAAAAAATAAACGCGTATAAAAAATTGAAAACATAAAACTGTACAAAGATGAATAAAAAAAAACACAAACAATTAAAAAATGTATAAGGACAAATAAATCACAAAATAAATTAATAAAAAACAAACGAACAAAATTAAAAGCTGTTTAAATTACGCTTTTTGGCGGCCGTCGAGATCCTTCCTCGACATAACCGAGATTATGAAGTTCTCGACTTGCCGCCAATTCTCTTCCGACTGGGTCATCAGCGATACCATGTTCTCCGGTGTAACTTGACTGTTTACACCTTCGAACATGGCCCGCCTCTCCAAGTCCCATTTCTTGCATGAGAAGAGAGTGTGCTCTGCGTTGTCCTCAGGGAACTGGCAATATGCACACACCTCGTTCTCGCGTAATTTAAAGCGACACAGGTACGAGTTAAAACACCCGTGACCTGTGAACGCCTGAGTCAAGTAATAGGAAACCTAACCGTGTTTCCTATTTATCCAGGTGGCGAGTGCCGGGATAAGGCGATAAGTCCATCGACCTTTTTCCTCACCATCCCATCTTTCTTGCCATCTTTCTATGAGCCTGTGCCTCGCTTCTTTGCGGATCAGGCCCTTGCTTGGTCTTAATTCCTCATTCAAGGAACTGCTTTCTTTAGAAAAGAGAAACATTTCTTCCCTTTCCCTCGCCAAAAGATCTGCTGGCGGGACACTTGCAAGGACCTGCACAGCACTCGTAGATACCGTCTTATATGCAGAGATGATACGCGTTGTTATCGATCTCTGCGCAGACAGTATCTTTTCACAGATGGTCACACATCTTTTACTCCTCAGGGATGGGGCCCACGCTGGTGCTGCATAGAGCATTTTAGCGTGGGCGACACTCGCCACCAGTCTTCTTTTTTGTTCACGGGGTCCGCCAACATTTGGCATTAGCCGTGAAAGATTAGCCGCACACTCGATCGCCTTATTTGACGCCGTAGCCATGTGGTGGTGGAAGTTTAACCTTCCATCTAACTCCACACCAAGATATTTAATTTGCTTACTCCACTTGACCTCGAATCCGTCTATCACGATTCGTGGGAGCTCATAACCACGTCTGTCTGTGACCAGCAGTGCCTCGGTCTTTTCCAGGGCCATTTCAAGACCTCTGGTATCCAGCCAGCTTTTAGCTAGTCGCAGACATTCGTTCACCAATGTCCCAAGAGCCTCCTCACTTTCGACAGTGCACACGAATAACGCGTCGTCCGCAAAGCCGATGATCACCGCACCTTCGGGCAGATCCATTCGCAGAAAATCATCGTAAGATACATTCCATACAAATGGACCCACCCTCGAGCCTTGAGGAGCCCCACGCTGCATCTCTTCCGTGAGAGTGCAGGTGTCTCCCTCATATATAACCCTCCTGTCGCTAAGATAATTATCCATTATCCGCAACAAGTAGGGCGGAATGTTTTTCTTTTCCATCGACTCGATGAGATCTTTCCATCTTGCGGAATTAAACGCGTTGCGTATGTCAATTGCTACCAACGCGCAGAAGCTCTTCTTTTTCCCAGGTCCCAATTTGTTTTTTCCTGCTTTGGCTATGTCCACAACTGCCTGGATGGCATCAACCGTGGACTTGCCTTTACGGAAACCAAATTGGTGATCGGATAGACGATTCTCTTCGGTCAAGTGGCTTTGCATTCTCTGCAGAACCATATCCTCTAGAAGTTTACCCATCGTATCTAGCAGGCATATAGGCCTGTACGATGAAACCTTATCTAGAGGTTTTTCACCTTTCCTTAGGAGGACTAACCTCTGTCGCTTCCAGTCGCGGAAGAACTCTCCTCTCTCAAGGCAAAGATTGAAGCATCGAAGCAGAATCTGGGGTATGGCTCCGCAGGAGGAAACAAAGAACTTATTATCTTTCTGACCCAATCGGGAGTGTCCAGGCCGGGGGTCTTTTGCCTCGTCACTAATTTCTTAGTTACGATTTTAATAGCCAGACCCCATGGGTCCTTATCGACTTCCTCGATTAGGTCCTTCCAGCTATGGCGTCGCGACTTCCGGATCTCTTTCTTGAGGTTCTTTTTCGCCTCCTTGAAAAAGGAGATCGGGTATATGTCCTTCTTGCTTTGAGGCATTCCTTTCTCAAGGAGGCTAGCTCCTCTGACCACCAGTGCAAGGATTTTCTTACGGGAGTGGCGCCTTTGCGTGGCATTGACGCATTGCAAGCGGTGACTATCATGTTCCTCACCGCTCGCACCTCCCCATCCAGACTGCTCGGCCTCTTCACCCAGCCCAAGTCCTTAATTAAAAGGGCTTCTCTTAGGGACCGGCCGAACTTTTCCTTGTCGAGTCTCTTCATATTCCACGAGGAGGTTTTGCGACTAGGAACATCCTGTCTTTTTCCTCCTCGTGTGTCTCCCATCGAGACTGAGAACTCAATGTACTGGTGGTCACTTGCTGTATATTCCTCAGAGACCCGCCAGTCGGTTATGCGGCTAAATAGTTTAGTCGATGCGATCGTTAGATCTATAATTGATCCGATCGCACCTCTTCTAAAAGTCCATGTATTGCCTCGGTTTACAGCCAATAAGTCGTTTCTGGAGATCATTTCTCCAATACGAATTCCTCTCTTGTCGAGTCTCGTCTCACCCCACTCTGGCGACTTTGCGTTAAAATCGCCAGTGATGATGACATCCAGCCTGGATTCTGTGAGGCTCGCTTCTAGGTCTTCGATATTGGCTTCGAAGTTTGTCAGTGGGTCGTTGGGTGAGAAGTAGCAGCTATACATACGTATATTAGCTACCTCTATCCACACGAACCCACTGCTCGTCTCCAGAAACTTGTCAACCCGCAATTCTGGGTTGCACAGCTTTATGGCGGCTCTCTTCGCCTTATCCTGATACCAAGGGGCGAGGTCGCTTCCTTGATACTGCTCACTGCAGAACAGGATATCGACCTCATTTTCCCTTGCTGTTTGCATTAGGAGCAACTGTGCATCCTTACTTGTATGCAGGTTGACCTGCAAAAATTTTAAGGATTTGACCTTTTAATCTTTTGCAGTTCTTCTCTGTAAACCGGGCAGGCTCTCTTTCCGGAAACGTGATCCGTCTCTGGCTTCCCCACGTCCAAGCACGTAAGGCACTTCGGCTTAACTTTACAGCTCTTCGCGAGGTGTCCCTCTCCGCCGCATCTCCGACAGTTTTTACTTCTGTCGGGGCCTTTGCAGGTTCGGGTTAAGTGTCCGTATGCTAGGCACTTTTGGCACCTAGCTACTTCAACATGCTCGCGAATTGGAGCATTTATCCATCTGATTTTTATTTTACCAAGCTTTAGCAGAGTATTACTTTCTGCCTCTGTCAGACGTACTAGAGCAACCTTAGTTCCTCTGTAGCGCGGCAAAAGTCGACACTCCATCTTCAGGTCAGGTTTACCCAGCTTTTCTCTTAGTGCTGCATTTACCTCATCCTCTGAGGTGGCTTCGTCCAAATCCTTAATCTCTAGAGACCTTTTATTCACTAGAGGTGTGACCTCAGCTTTACCATGCAGGGCCGAAGACAGTGCATCTGCAAATTTTAAGGTCTCTCCGCCCTTTTTCACTATCACGAGAACCTCCTGTTTAAAAGTTCTCCTGATTTTCCGGATCACGGTACCCGTATCTTCTGGGTTTACCTTTGGTTTTATTAGCGGCAAGATACCCTCATAAAACTTTGGGTCGCTTGCCGTAATTTTAACAGCTTCCGTGCTCCTTAGCTTCAAAGGGGGCTTCGGAAGCTCCTTTTTCTCACCTGAGGGTTTCTCTTTTGGAGTCCGTTTCTCCTTGTTTTTAACAACCTTGAAACCGTCTCCATTGTCCGCTCCGTCCCTCAAGACGGTCTCAGCATACGACTTGCCAGGACTGTTTAAGGGCGCCTCTCTTGCTCCAACCAGCGACTCAGAACCAAGCTGTGGAGCCTCCTTTCGCTTAATTCTCTTCCCGCCTTGAGTTGCCCGTCGCGGACTCGCATCTGGGCTTGTACCTTCCCTGGGGCGTTTATTAACGCCTTTTGCCTTATTAGGACATGTCTTTGCGCCGTTCAGAGGTACAGTAGTGCTCTCCGTCTGCTGTGGAGCTACCACAGTTGGGTGTTGCGGCTCCTGGTCTATGAAAGGCTTGGGGATAAAACGTAAATTCCTACAGATTATCTCAAACGCACCTTCCAAAACCGTCACGCCATCCTGGATTTCCCGACTGACGTTCTTTTGGCGCTTGAATCCCTGGCGCAAGCTTTTGAAGATTCCCGGAATAGCCACGAACTGGTCTGAGACATTTGTCTCATATATCATCGACTGATTATTGTTTTGGCCCCCCCCCAAAATCCGTGGGGCCTGCGGCGGTGTTCGAAGAAACACCGTCGGGAGTATTGTCCCCTTTCGGGGTTCCTCCTTGGGGTAATTCATTTATATTATGATACATAATCATTTTTTTTTTTTTTTTTTTTTTGGTTTTAGAATCAGGGTACCACCCTGTTGGTTGTCCTTTAGTGAAAAGCCCCGCCACCACGGCAAGGCACGGGAGAGTCGCGCCAGCGACTACATGGAACCATTCATCTACAAAGTCTGAAGCCACTAGGTAGTTCCGTAGGTGGATAGAAGGTTCGAAACCCAGGGGAAACAAGAAGAGGTTTTAGTCGGTAGGGTGACTGCCGTTAAAGGCAGGTATGTGAGGTTTCTTTTTTTCCTTGCATTTTGTACGAGTCCGACATACCCCAGGTAAGTGGGATCTTCCTGGGGATGCGTAAATGCATTTCCTCTTCTCCCCCGTGAATAAAAAAAAATTATTATTATTATTATTATTATTATTATTATTATTATTATTATTATTATTATTATTAATAATGCATCCCAAGGATGCAGGAGGGCAACAACGCGTTGGTAGTGCCACAGATCATCGTGGACAGGTCGGAGAGACGAGGGAGTACGAGCAGCGTGACGAGTCAAGCCAGCTGCATTTCTGTCTTCAGTAATGCCTCGGCAAAGGACATTGCAAGCTGCAACCAAGATCGAGATGAATGCATTAAGCTGCGGGAGGAAGAGGCAGCGAGCATTTTAGAAATGGAGGAGGAGGTCAGCAAGATGCTGAAGTCCTGTGAAGTCCAGAAGAATGTCAATAGGACAATCAAGGATGGACTCAGAAGCTTAACATCGCTCATAAGGGACGTAAAGGAGAAGCACGCAGCAGCTACCAAAAAAGATGAGAGTCTCTACCAGGGATTGACTTGGTCGGAAGAGGCCAGACAGGATCGTAGAGCTAGACGAGATCGCTGTAACGCGATCGTGTTGAGAAACGTCGTCTTGGATGCTCAGAAGCGGAAGAGAAGTGATCCTGAGCCTGGGAAGGATCCAAAAAGGAAAAAGGAGGAGAAACCAAAAAAGACTGGAGGCAAGGGGAACAAAACGGTTCCAAAGCCAGACCAGGTCAAGAAGGGAAGAGCTACAGTGATCGTTAAAGTGGCCGAAGGAAAAACTTTCGCTGAAGTGCTGGCGAAGGTTCGAAGGGAGGCTGACTTGGAGGCCAGCCAGACAAGGGTTGTGGGAGCTTTACCCACTAAAAAAGGAGACCTTCTCATTAAAATTGGAGGGTATTCCAACAAGAAGCTGTTCACCGAGGAGGTGACAAAGGTAATCGGCGATTTGGGTAAGGTGCAGATTGCGGTCCGGCAAACTACGTTGGAAATCCGCGATATGGATGCCCTTACTGAAAAGGAAGACGTTTTGAATGCCCTGGAGCAAATCTCTACGGTGCCAGCAGGGAGCAGAAGGGTGGCGGTCCTTGGCCCAAACAAGCGAGGAGTAAAGCTCGCTGTCGTTGTCACCAGCCAAGAGGATACAGATAAGCTGGAGAAAATAGGACACATTAAAATTGGGTTCGTGTCCTGCCAGGTCAGAAGAAGAACTACGGTCACAAGGTGCTATAGGTGCCTTGGCTACGGCCACATAGGAAGAGATTGCCAAGAGGTAGACAGGTCGGCTGCGTGCTTCAAGTGCGGAGAAGCCGGCCATAAGGTAGCAGATTGTAAGAAGAGCTCATGCTGCTTCTTATGCCAGGCGAAGTTCGGCAAAAAGGAGGACATCCAACACGTCGCCGGATCAGGTCGGTGCAAGGTCTTCAGGACTGCCTTAGAAGAAGCTAAGAAGACTTTGTCAAGGACAAGGAGAAAATAAGGCCAGAACAAGAGCGGCACGGGAGAGTCGCGCCAGCGACTACATGGAACCATTCATCTACAAAGTCTGAAGCCACTAGGTAGTTCCGTAGGTGGATAGAAGGTTCGAAACCTAGGGGAAACAAGAAGAGGTTTTAGTCGGTAGGGTGACTGCCGTTAAAGGCAGGTATGTGAGGTTTCTTTTTTTTCCTTGCATTTTGTACGAGTCCGACATACCCCAGGTAAGTGGGATCTTCCTGGGGATGCGTAAATGCATTTCGTCTTCTCCCCCGTGAATAAAAAAAAATTATTATTATTATTATTATTATTATTATTATTATTATTATTATTATTATTATTATTATTATTATTATTATTATTATTATTATTATTATTATTATTTTTTTTTTTGCTTAGGGACTTTTGGGAAATCTGCCTACAGATACCTTGGATTCCGCACTCCAAGGTTATGTGGGGTTGGTAAAATAAGAAAAAAAAAAGGGAATATAAAAAAAGATAAATAAAGAAATGTTATAAGAAATTTAATTAACTGGCGACCTACTACCAGCCCGACCCACTAAAACCCGTAACCCTTCTTTTGGAGCCCTTTACCCTCCCTCGGAACTGTCGTAAGACTTTAGCCTTCGAGGGAGGCGCTCCAACTCTATCGCTGCTGCGACTTTGTTCTGTGTCTGCGGTTCTCCTGCGTCAATAGTTAAAAAATTTAAAACTATTTCAATATAAAAGCGGAATTAACAGCACAACAACAATAAAAAACAAAATTTTTTAAATTTAAAAAGTTTAAAAAGTCAAAAGATAAAATTATAAACGGATATATAAAAAAAAAGAAAAAAAATAAGCGCGTATAAAATATTGAAAACAAAACTGTACAAACATGAATAAAAAAAAATACACACAATTAAAAAATGTATATAGACAAATAAATCACAAAATAAATTAATAAAAAACAAATAAACAAATTAAAAGCTGTTTAAATTACGCTTTTTGTCGGCCGTCGAGATCCTTCCTCGACATAACCGAGATTATGAAGTTCTCGACTTTCCGCCAATTATCTGCTGACTGGGTCATCAGCGATACCATGTTCTCCGGTGTAACTTGACTGTTTACACCTTCAAACATGGCCCGCCTCTCCAAGTCCTATTTCTTGCATGAGAAGAGGGTGTGCTCCGCGTTGTCCTCAGGGAACTGGCAATATGCACACACCTCGTCCTCGCGTAATTTAAAGCGACACAGGTACGAGTTAAAACACCCGTGACCTGTGAGCGCCTGAGTCAAATAATAGGAGACTTCTCCATGTTTTTGGTTTATCCAGGTGGTGAGTGTTGGAATCAGACGATAGGTCCATCTACCCTTTTCCTCCCTATCCCATCTGTCCTGCCATGTCTCGATAAGTCTGTTTCTCGCGTATTTGCGGATGTAGTCCTTGCTAGGTCTTTTCTCTTCTGGGTACTCGGGATTATTTCTTCTTTTAAAAAGAAGAAATACTTCCTCCCTTTCCCTTGCCATAAGATCTGCCGGCGGGACACTTGCAAGGACTTGCACAGCGCTCGTCGAGACCGTCTTATACGCAGAAACGATACATGTAGTAACACATCTCTGCGCAGACAGCATATTATCGCAAATGGTTTTGCTTCTTGTTTTAAGTGAGGGAGCCCACGCTGCTGCTGCGTAAAACAGCTTAGCGTGGGCAACACTAACCACCAGTCTCCTTTTCCTTTCACGTGGTCCGCGAACGTTTGGCATAAGTCGTGCCAAGTCTGACGCACACTTTATCGCCTTATTCAAGGCCGTCGCTATATGGTAATGGAAGTTTAACCTTCCATCGAGCTCCACTCCTAAATACTTAATATGTTTACTCCACTTGACCTCGAATTCGTCTATCACGATTCGTGGGAAACTATAACCACGTCTGTCTGTGACGAGCAGAGCTTCGGTTTTTTCCAAGGCCATTTGAAGACCTCTGGCATCCAACCAGCTTTTAACTCGCCGCAGACATTCGTTCACCAATGTCTCAAGGGCTTCCTCGCTTTCGGCTGAGCACACGACCAACGCATCGTCCGCAAAGCCGATGATGACCGCGCCTTCAGGTAGACCCATTCGCAGGAAGTTATCATAGGATACATTCCACACGAATGGTCCCACCCTCGAGCCTTGGGGGGCACCACTTTGCATCTCTTCCTTTAGAGTCCAGTTGTCCCCCTCATAGATTACCCACCTGTCGCTAAGATAATCATTCATTATCCGCAACAAGTAGGGCGGTATTCTCTTCTCCATCATCGACTGGATGAGATCTTTCCATCGTGCGGAGTTAAACGCGTTACGTATGTCAATAGCCACCAATGCGCAGAAGCCCTTCTTCTTCTTTGGTCCCAATTTGTTTTTTCCCGCTTTGGCTATGTCCACAACTGCCTGAATGGCATCAACCGTGGACCTGCCTTTGCGGAAACCAAATTGGTAATCGGATAGACTATTCTCTCCGGTCAAATGGGTTTGCATTCTCTGCAGAACCATATCCTCTAGAAGTTTACCCATCGTATCTAACAGGCAAATAGGCCTGTACGACGAGACTTTATCTAGAGGTTTTTCGCCTTTTCTTAGGAGGACTAGCCTCTGCCGCTTCCAGTCGCGGAAGAACTCTCCTTTCTCAAGGCAAAGATTGAAACATCGGAGCAGAATCTGGGGTGAAGTGTCGATAACCAATTTTAGGATCTCGTTACTTATCCCATCGATTCCAGGCGCCTTGCCTGTTTTCAATCTTCTACCTGCATTTCTCAATTCTGTAAGAGTGAAGAGTTCCTCCTCACCGACTTCGCAGGTACTCCAGTCCTTCCTAACCCACGGTTCTGCAGGAGGAAATAGAGCTTTTATAATCCTTCTGACCCAATCGGGATTGTCCAGGCCGGGGGTCTTTTGCCTCGTTCCTAATTTCTTAGTAACGATTTTAAAAGCCAGACCCCATGGGTCCTTCTCGACATCATCAATTAGGTCTTTCCAGCAACGGCGTTGTGACGCTTGAATCTCTTTTTTCAGGCTTTTCTTGGCCTCCTTAAATACTTCCTTTAGCAAAGGATCTCCCTTAGAACGGGTATAATTCCTTCTAGCTTTGAAGCACGCTTTCCGCAA